ATATATCCTACATGCTGATTGTGATATATCCTACATGCTGATCGTGATATATCCTGTACATGCTGACCGTGATATATCCTACATGCTGATCGTGATATATCCTGTACATGCTGACTGTGATATATCCTGTGACCTATGCTGATCGTGATATATCCTGTACATGCTGATGCTGTGATATATCCTACATGCTGATCGTGATATATCCTGTACATGCTGATCGTGATATATCCTACATGCTGATCGTGATATATCCTGTACATGCTGACCGTGATATATCCTACATGCTGATCGTGATATATCCTGTACATGCTGATCGTGATATATCCTACATGCTGATTGTGATATATCCTACATGCTGATCGTGATATATCCTGTACATGCTGACCGTGATATATCCTACATGCTGATCGTGATATATCCTGTACATGCTGACTGTGATATATCCTACATGCTGATTGTGATATATCCTGTACATGCTGATCGTGATATATCCTACATGCTGACTGTGATATATCCTACATGCTGATCGTGATATATCCTGTACATCCTGATGTATGACACTATACTTGCTGACTGTGTGAAATATCTTGGAAACTCTGATCGTGTGATATACAATCATTAGGAAGTAGTTACCGGGAAGAAGGACAACTTTTTACGTGCAGCTATCGCCCAACTTCATAAATATATCCTTGTGAGAGATCATATCACCTGTTTCTGCCACAACGACGGAAATTACAACCCAACCCGAGGAAGAAGTTGATTACTGAGGACGACATTATTTCTAAATAAGAAAACAGAATAACACACAACCACCACTACATTTACCCATGATGGGGATCAAACCTAGACCAATTACATACCTGTCTAAAACCTACTCCTCCAGCCCTAACAAAATATAAATCAGCAGTTTATGTAATGGACAATTGTTATTCCACAGTCGAGTCATACAATAATTATCTGTATGTCTTAAATGTCTTATGTGATGGCATATATGACATACAGCAGCACCTGCTGATATACACACACATGTGGCACCTGCTAACATACAAATGGCACCTGAAAGACACATGGGGCACCTATTGGCACACACAATGGAACCTGAAAGTCCCACAGGAACTTGCTGACATATACACACACAGGGCACCTACTGGCATACACACATGGCACCCTGCTGACACACACATGGGGCACCTGCTAACATACAAATGGCATCTGAAAGACACATAGTCACCTACTGGCATATACATAAAGTCACACAGGGCACTTGAACATGCACAGGGCACCTATAGACACATGGGGCACCTGACAGTCACATGGGGCAACTGCTGCAACATCCACCTGGCATCTGAAAGACACTACACCTACTGGCATGTCATATCGGGGCACTTGATAGACACATGGGGCACTAGGTCACATCCACCTGTCATTGTCTACTGATGTCACAGCCACGGTAACCACCACCCAGGTAGCCAGCACTGTTATTTTCTCTGACTCATCACATATCAATCTAAAAGGGTGAATACATTCCTCCATACACAAGTAGCTACCACAGACGCTTGTCACTGAAGCTACACGGTGTATAAATCACAGCACAACAAACAATACATTACATATTAACTATAAAAATATTCTGCTGTTAAATTCTACTTGATAACTGTAGATGTTCGTCTGTGTTAAGTGAACATGTGATATCGTGAAAGTGTCAGTTTGTCCTATTGCATCAGTCTACTGAACAGTTTGATCTATGTGTTGACATCTGACACAAGATGTACTCAGTTACTGTATATACAAGCTGACGAACAAATATGACATAAGTTAGTGAGTGTATTAGATGCTTGGCATCACATCTATATACTCTGACTGGTATTCTATTTTGGGACTGATTATCACACATCTTGCATCAACATTCACAGAGTTCTAGACTTCATATTCTTGGCAAATATACTTAAAAAAAAAAAATTATTATTAAATTGATGTCAAGTCTTGTCTCGTATGAAGATCTATACTGAAATGTTGCTGCTACCGTATCTAAAAGAAGTTGTTATCCATAACTTGTGTGGACTCACTAAATGTCATTTTTATTGTCTAAGTTCACCTCCTACTATCAGCATCTGAGCATTTGTCTTGGTACAGTATTGCTGTATTGTCAGTGTTTTACCTGCAGAAAACACCTGTTATAATTACAGGTGTAATGTCAAGCTGACCTCTCAAGTAGAGATAATTCAGAAGAAAGGAAAATAAATAATTCAAAGCATATGACTTCCCGCTTGAATAGATGATTCAATAACTAGCCATGACACAATCTCAACGAACGTCCAAGTAAGTGGCAGGGAGGAGTAGAACATGTTCCTTTACAAGATAAGATTACAGTGGATATCAACCATCAAGGAAACAAATAACATTAGTACAACGTCAGAAAACTTTTATCCTTGGACAAGCCTATTGACTATTAATGACAACAGTTGTTCACCAAACACTATAAGGACTTAGAAGACATCCTGATACTGTTATACACATATCTACAGGCAGAACAATGGGAACTGACATGACATTCTATATGGTAAAGTATGTTTATGACAAACATGCTTACAATAAACTATAAACGCAACTAACTCTATATTTGGTCCCGGACACTTGCTGTATATTTTTTAGAGTGGTGAGTGAGTTTAGTTTTATGTCAATTCTAGCAATATTCAAACAATATTATGGCAAGGAATAACAGAAATGGGCTTCACTCATCGTACCCATGTGGGTAATCAAACCCGGGTCTTCAGCGTGATGAGGGAACACTTTAACCACAAGGCTACGCCACCAACCAATATTTTTTAGTAGAAATGTGTTTAAAACTAACCAAAATGTATTGTACTAGCTAGATTCTACTTTCACCAGTCCTGACCACACACATGACTGAGCTGGACCAAGCTTAAGTTTCTGAAAATATATAATCTGACAGAAACAAGCAACTACATTTACACTGAAAAGGAGCCCCAGTGAAATGGGAGATTATGACCTTGTAGAAAATCAGGACTTGCTTTATTGGGGCAAAACATCACAGTAAGGGATGGGAAGATGGGGAAAACAGAACGGTTCAGGGACTGGAGACAGACTATGACCAAGCCTGTGTCATTCACCTGCGACACATTGAATAGCAGGTGTATACATCTCATTGCTGCAACATCCATGAGTCATCAAATATTGCCACGCCACTGACCATTTGATTGAAATATTCAGTATGAGATAAATAACAGAGATACATGAAATAAATGTGAGCAGGTTTCACCAATGGTTTGATGGGTGACAATTATAATGATATGTGATAATTACCGATATGACTGGGTTAAGTAACCAGCAACAGGTGTGACTCTGTTTACCAATGTTTTCAGTGTCTACATGAATGGTTATCAATCTAGAACATAGAGAAACTGTATAACTCGACTGCTAGTCTCAATACTTGATGAATTCCACCATTAGCTAGTCAGCACTGTCTTTGATGGCTTTGTAGGAAATGATAAATACGGAATCAATGGAGAGTCGGGCAGCATAGAATGTAAGCATAACAGCGAACTTAATGTAATAATAATCAGCAGACAGCTGGAGCGTTAAGCTGATCAAAGACGTATTAGCTGACACTGAAACTAGTCACTTAGCCCCAACTCTGGACCAGCCTTTTCATGAGATGATTTGTTTACTTCAAATACACTGGTACACCTGTACTGAAGATACATACGTGATACTAATCAAAAGAGGTCAAATCAAACCTTTTTCATATCACTACTATACAGTAAATCTGTGAAAGAATCAGGTGTTTTTCAACTTATCGAGAATTATATGTAGGTAGAAAACTTATCATACCCGGGTAAGAATGTCACTATAAATAATATACTGATACCCAGGATTACATTTACTGTACCAATTACTGTTAATATCAACACTGTATCAAGTACTGTCATACAGGTTAATGTCAACACTGTATCAAGTACTGTCATACAGGTTAATGTCAACACTGTATCAAGTACTGTCATACAGGTTAATATCAACACTGTATCAAGTACTGTCATACAGGTTAATACTGTCATAAAGGTTAATATCAACACTGTATCAAGTACTGTTATACCCTGGTTATATCAACACTGTATCAAGTACTGTTATACCCTGGTAATATCAACACTGTATCAAGTACTGTTATACCCTGGTAATATCAACACTGTATCAAGTACTGTTATACCCTAGTAATATCAACACTATATCAAGTACTGTTATACCCTGGTAATATCAACACTATATCAAGTACTGTTATACCCCAGTAATATCAACACTATATCAAGTACTGTTATACCCTGGTAATATCAAGACTATATCAAGTACTGTTATACCCCAGTAATATCAACACTATATCAAGTACTGTTATACCCCAGTAATATCAACACTATATCAAGTACTGTTATACCCCTAATATCAACACTGTATCAAGTACTGTAGTACCCTGGGTATATAAACACTGTGTGAAATACTGTCATAACCTGGCTAAATCAACTCTGTTTTCAACACATGTACACCCAAAATTATCAAAAAGGTATCAAATATCATTCCCCACATTAACCTGAAACAAGACACAAGACACAAGATGTGAAAGCTTCACAAAGCAGTGAGCTGTGAGGCCGGTATGTAAGTATGCCAGACTGTCCCAGATGTAACACCTACCATTGTGAGGTATTGCTCCAGGTGAGAGTTGACTAGTTCCAGTGTGTGTATATCCCAGTCTTCCTCAGCACTGTAATACCCGACATACTGCTGCTTGTTGTGTTCCATACTACCACACTCCGTAGACAGGAGGACATGATTCACATCTAGTACACAGAAGAATTCCACAAATGCGACTCCGTGTCACTCCTACACTGTATGTCCAATCAGCCAATCATCAAGCACGATAATATGGGGATATCCTCACACTAGAGCTCCCTCTACCACAGGTGAGTAGGATGTCGTTAAGGTAAGTCCAGGTGAGTCCAGGTGTGGTGATACAGGTGAGAGATGGAGAGAGCGGGACAAGATGGCTTCCTTGATGTGAGTGGTCTGGTGAACACAGCCAGAATAGGGTCACAGGGAGCGTGTCGCACACAGCCCTGCTTCACTGGAGACACCACTGGCACAATGCCATTGGCCTTTGTGATTCAAATACACCAATAGCCTGAGGGCATACCTGGAAGGTATGCTGGACCAGATAGCAGGCAGGTGACCACAGCCCTGACCAAGGGAGTGACCAGTAGATAGCGTCTCAGGCCACCTACAACTCATTCACAGCGACACACAATAGGTATTGATTAATCAACACATGTGCTACACTGGACAACGGAGGGTGTGGGATACGCTCATTTAGGTCCAATATTACCTGGACTGGTCTCACAATGACAACACTAATATAACCATCAATCATAAACACAGGAAGATTTGTCACTGCAGGAATCACTGAGCAAAAAGAATAAATTTTCCTATAATGCAAAATGACAACCAGGTGTGCAGCAATATGTACAAAATAAAACATACATATATACAAACATGTCTATATATAACAGATGAAAGTAGAAAGATGATCTCTATAAAGCACTCTACCACTGACACTATTGCTATCTTTTTAAATTACCATAAACATATACTGACCCATGTATTCCACGAGGCAAAAAAAATTTTTTAACATTTGTGTACAGCTATTTACTCCTGTGCTTAAACTGACAATCTTTCCCAATCAGCTCTAGTCAGGATCAAGCATAACAAACCTATTGCATGTTTACTATGGCTGTTCCTTCAGCAGTAATTACTCCAGAAAACTCCACCTCTTTCCCATTGTCGAGTTAATTACATATTGATGGATATAAATTGCCCCGATCTCCTTGAGTGATAAAGCCAATTATCAGCACAAGCGGACCCTCATTTCCCCAAAACTTATCATTACTGTTTTTTTCACTCATTCAGGGTTTCATTCATCTCTCATTCTTTATACATGTTCATACCTTCATTCATTCCATGAAATAGCTTTTCTGCATGAACCCTGTTAAGTTTTATTCATTTTTGTGAGTATTTTTACATGCATTTGACACTTTTCCTTGTGACAAATGAGGGTAAGTTGATTTGATTCTGTTTCAAGTATTAAGTAAGGAGTAATTATAATATAATAGTATATAATATTGACATGGTGTATTTAATGTTTACATAAAACCCCTAAAGAACCATTGTTTTAATTGTTTTACGAAAGGTATAAACTGAAGTAAACATTCCCAAAGTCTGCATTTTAAACAAACTATAATAATTTAGCCTCCATTTATCTGTTAAACAAACTGAAATTGTTTTTCCTCTCTGTGGATACATACATGTTCATTTTATTCACAACAAAATATATTCCCCTTGTTTGTGCTATAACGGACCAGCCAAGCATGACCTAGTATCGCCCACTGCACTCATTTATCATCCAGAACATCCAGTGTTATGTGAGCACAGACACTATAACATTCTATTTTCAGGACAACTATTTCTGAGTTGCTTCAACACCTGGAGCTCCAACCAATTCCGGCCACTCGTAGCCCCCTAGGACATGTGGAACATTTACTGGAGCCCAACCTAGCTATCTGCCCCCAAACCAACCCAACACTTGTTCCTTCATCCCGCCTGCCTGTCACACCTAACCAGTCGGTAAATATTTGACACAGCATGATCTGATGTCTGCCATCAAAATGGGGCCATCGAGGGTCAGCTCACAGTATTGGCCCATTCACAAACAAGGAAATAAATATTGTTTTGTCAATAAAGGAATTTCTCCTCGTATCATGTTGTATATTTGATCGTCAGTTGTGCAGATGACATTCCTGGTTGTTGTTTTAACTCTTCCCTGTTTGTCATTGATTCCAGCAAGTTGATGAACAGCGAAAAGTCAAACTGGAATAATGAATGTTGTATTTATTTATCCACCTAAACATTTTAAATTTTTCTATATGAACAATCAACTGTTTATAAAATAAATGTTTCTCAAAAGCAATTTGATAATCCTCACAGTTGGAGAGCTGGCAAATCTTCTTAATAATGCACATTAAACAACACCAAAGCCTAACCCTAACCAGAGACTATATGATATAATATTTTATGGTCTCTGCCCTAACTTAAAGTCTAACCTGAATGGTATACAAATAGTAAGAGATATTTCAGGGAAACAAGGCACAAGTACTGAGATTGTTGAGCACAATATATATCACTCAATATACTGGAGAGGCAAGTGAGTAAGTGACTGATTTGACTCTACTTCAAGCCTTATTGCTGAGTATTTGACCAGTTAAAAGTGGTGGTTTTGTTTTCACAATGTAAACAGAGAAAGAGTGATTTAAGTTTAATAAAGATCTGACTGACTGACTGAGTTTGGTTTTACGCCGCCATTAGCAATATTCCAGCAACATCACGGCGGGGGACACCAGAAATGGGCTTCACACATTGTACCCATGTGGGGAATCAACCGGGTCTTCGGCGTGACGAGCCAACGCTTTAACCATTAGGCTACCTGGTTTTAAGCCGCCATTAGCAATATTCCAGCAACATCACGGCGGGGGACACCAGAAATGGGCTTCACACATTGTACCCATGTGGGGAATCTAACCTGGGTCTTCGGCGTGACGAGCCAACGCTTTAACCACTAGGCTACCCCACCGCCCCAATAAAGATCTGAACATGTTTCAGTTGTAGATGTCTATTTCCTATCTGGAGCTGACTGACTGACTGACTGACTGACTGACTGAGTTTAGTTTTATGCCGCTTTTAGCAATATTCCAGCAACATCACGGCGGGGGACACCAGAAATGGGCTTCACACAATGTACCCATGTGGTCTGGAGCTGACAATCTTGGAAATATAATCACAATGTATCTGGGATTCAGGGAGCAGCTGTATCAAAGCTTCGTGGAATCTGTGAGTGAAGTAAATAGAAAAACAATATGTACATAGATAGCACTAGCCTCCATGCACCCAGTGTAGGGTTAAAGTGACACAGTTGGACAATACATAGAGGATATTATATGAGTGCCCATGTCATATTATGTTTACGACACGAGTGCCTAAATGTTGGTATTTCCCGAGCGAGAGCGAGGGATATACCGATATTTAGGCACGAGTGTCGTAAACATAGTATGATATGGGCACTCATATAATATTCTGTTTATTACCAAAGTCGTCAAATTAAGGAAAATAAACCCAAATCTACTTTCTGTCTACCCTCCGTCACCGCATGTAGAACGCAACGTCACTGAAGAAACGTGACATCATATCATTGTTCATGGCGTCACGTCACCATGACAAAGTGATATTTTGCCCTAGGGCATCGTATGAAAAATATGAACCCCGATATGTTTGCCCTCGTAGGTAATAAATTTACATAGATAGAAACATATGGGCCTACAACCAACTCTCCACCAACGAATCATGCAAGCAGCACATGTTATGAAAAAGATCTGTTTTGAGTTCAAGTATGAAAACTTCAAAAGTTTTAGGAACTCAGATATGAATTGGAAAATCATTCCACTGATGAGGCCAAGTTGTGTTGAAATCTGTAGACTCACTGAGAAACAGACAATTGACACAAATCTTCTGATCAAAATAACTGGGTATGGATTCATACAGTGTCATCAGATCTGCTCAAGCTAAACTTTACTGACATCTGTATGTCAGACAACAAGTTATAGTCAGTCCTAGACTTGACAGGCAGCCGGTGCAGTACCTGGTACGGGAGTAGTTAAATGTTCTGGACACAATGCAAGATGCAGTAGATTTTCAGGAATATTCCAGCAATATCACGGCGGGGGACACCAGGAATGAGCTTCACACCATGTTGGGAATCAAACCTAGGTCATCAGCTTGACCGGCAAATGCTTTAACCACTACCACTGCCCCACTTTAACCACCACTACCCCACCACTGCCCCAACCACTACCACTGCCCCACTAACCACTACCCCACTACCACTGCCATCCCCACCACCTTAACCACCTTAACCACCACCACTGCCCCACTTTAACCACCACCACTGCCCCACTTTAACCACTACCACTGCCCCACTTTAACCACTACCACTGCCCCACCTTAACCACTACCCCACCACTGCCCCACTTTACCACCACCACTGCGCTAACCACTGCCCCACCTTAACCACTGCCATCCTTAACCACTACCACTGCCCCACTTTAACCACCACCCTTTAACCACTACCTTAACCACTGCCATCTGCCCCCAACCACTACCACTGCCCCCACCTTAACCACCCCCCCACTACCACTGCCCCACCTTAACCACTGCCACTGCGCCCCCACCACCACCACTGCCACTGCCACTGCACCCCACCTTAACCACCACTACCACGCCTCTGCCCTTAACCACCTTAACCACTGCACATCCCACCCCCCACCCCCACCTTAACCACTGCCATCCCCCCTTAACCACTACCACCACCACTGCCCCACCTTTTAACCACTACCACTGCCCCACCTTAACCACTACCACCGCCCCACCTTAACCACTACCACTGTCCCACTTTTAAATAATAATCTTGTGATGAGCAAAGGAATCCAGAGGTAGAAGAATGCAGGAATTACTGAGACATGGCCTGTCGCCATCAAGTACTGTGACTGTCATTCTCCATCTGTCCGTGGATGGGCAACCCGACCTTATCTCTTCAGCCTGTTAGTGAACAGGGATTTTGTTCGCTGGATTTGATTGCTTTAATCAGCCTACAGCACATTTACCTGTCTGAAGGGATCATATGACGCAGGTAATTATGCCTGTGACAAATTCCATGTGGCTGGTTTCCCTTATGGGTATTGCTTAAATAGGAATCTAATGATTGTTTTTATATTATTCATTCAAGATCAAAAGAACATGCTTTCACATGCATGGCATCTATTCCGACGTTCCTGGAATTACTATAAAAAAAATACCTGTCAATTCCTTCAGTACAAGATCACTTCTGACAGGGTTGATCATTTTTAAGCTCCTTTTTTTTCGCCTCAAATTTCATTTCCTGACTACTTAAATATGTTTAAGTCGTCCACCATTAGCTAACAATAACCAAAAATATATGAAATTATTTTTCATATATTGAGACAGTGTCAGGTGAAACCAGTGTTATGAGTACCCAGATGTATGAAATTTGTTAGCAAATTTGCATTCTCATATCTTTTAGAAAGTAATAATGAAAAACATACAAATGAGATATATAGCACCTTTCATAAGGATTTTGTCACTGAAAAACTCCATTCTCACGAAATTGACCTTATCAGCTAATTCTCCTGAATCATATGCCGTTATTAAGTACTGGTGCAAATATGCTTTTTCAGCTGGGTGAACTTTTGACATTTATGCAGAAAGGACCTGTCAGATAGGACCAAATACTACAACAGAGATACTGTTAAAATATTCATAACAATGCATACAGGCCAATTGTGTAGTTCTGCAAAAGTGGGCCCTGGACACTGACAAACATTTACAATATCAATAAATCAAATATGGATCATTATACCCAATAAAAACCCTCAGTATTTGTACAGAAAAACAATACAACCTCTCCATCTCATAAATAAATAAATAATTCATTTAGAATGGGGAAATATATGAAAAGGCTCATTGAGTGCAAATTGAAAGTTTTTCAGATTTGTCAATGTGACCACATTCCTGGTGGGATGTGACGGCTGGTACTTCCGCATTGTCCCAGCGTTAATACTCGACTATCACCTTCTGTCTAATGTCCTCCAATCGGGGGCACGTCCAAGGGCAACAAAATACTGGCCCACAGCCTAAAACATGCTTTTAGTTGACGTCTGCTCGGTTCTGCTGAGTACAGAATGTGGTCAAGTATGTTTGGTGCATGCCCCCATCAAAATAAGTTTTGATGAAATTTTTCCAATGTTATCATGATATATTATTCTGTGACATTTAATGATATATATGCACTCTGATGTACGGTACATGCAACATATCCCTATGCTTGTCTTTGACACCTGCAGCAGGGAGCATGGACTGGTTACCTGGGACCAACTTTGTGGAGTCATGCAATAAGCACTTGTTACTGGAATCAATTGTGCTGAAGAGTGAGTGAGTGAGTGAGTGAGTGAGTGAGTGAGTGAGTGAGTGAGTGAGTGAGTGAGTGAGTGAGTGAGTGAGTGAGTGAGTGAGTGAGGAGTGAGTGAGTGAGTGAGTGAGTGGAGTGAGTGGAGTGAGTTGGGTTTAACACTGCTTTTAGCAATATTCCAGCAATATCATGGTGGGGGGACTCCAGAAATGGGCCCATGTGGGGAATCCAACCCTGGTCTCCACGTGACGATCAAACGCTTTAACCACTGGGCTACCCCAGCGCAAAGGAAAAAAATGCACAAAAAGAAAGTGTACAATGCCAAATAGCTCATGTATGAATGAAAAATAGTACATGAATATGAGAAGTGGGAAAACAGTTAACTCTACTAATCAAGACCCCCCAAAATGGTTTAAAGGGTAATTGCAGACAAACAGGTTATGACAACGGACTGAGGACAATAATGTATTCATATATTCACATGAACATTCACACAAAAATAACAATAAACAGACACCGGGCTGAGGTCACCTTTGGTTATCAGTGATATATATCCCATTTCTTCACAACACATTCGGGTGGTAATACGGATCTATATACACTGTACTGGTCATAATTACATGTCATACAGTCATGGACAGCCCATTTATCTCGTGCACCACCAACACCGGGTCTAATCCTCAATATTGAACAAATCTTCTGCATTCATGCCACTT